CTGGTTGGCGATCTTGCAACCAGCCAGCCAGCCAGTTTAGTTCAGTGACACCTACTCCGCGTTGCGTTATTACGCGCACGCAACGAATGCACACGTCGCTCGGTGGTTGCGCCGACCGCACGCACTTTGCGTATCACCGTGCGTGCGTGCGTACGTGCGTGCGTGCGTGCGTGCGTGCGAGCCCGCTTCGACACGGATGTTCTACCCGACATAGACGCGGACCGAAGAAGCTCCTCCGCGGAAAATTTCTCGGCGATGGCTGTCTGCTTGGTTATATATCGTCCGTTTGTTTTTGCTCTGTTTACCTAAGCGCATACAGTGCCTTTCAGAGCACGCTCGGTTGCGCCTGAGCCGCGAGAAGAATTAATTTTCTCCGGTCGGTGCGTTTTGTTCGCGGAAATGGCGACTTCAGGAAGTTGCATATTTGGATAAGAGGAAAATCGGGGTTAGAGATTATGTTATACAAGCCGGTGGCAATGATGTGAGACAATTTATCTTAACAGCGAGAACCACCTCGAAAGAAACGCGACTTTACAAAATACTTGAAAATTACAGTACTTGGAAGAATCGGAAGTTGAAAAATACACGAGGAGAGATTACGACGATGAAATAATTTGCGGTTTGTGTATGCCATTGGGACTGACGCAAAAGATTTGTCATCTTTTTTTATTTATCTATTTTGATTGATAATCTTTTTTTATTTATTTTGATTTTTAAGATGTCAGAAGTATTAAAAAAGAACAAGAAGTCTTCTTTAAATATCTATAAAATATCAAATCGAAGTTATTCATATTTCAGTTGTAAAAAATTATTAACTCTTCGAACTTGGATAATTTTTTTTTCTATTTTATTTGACAAATATCACAAATCTTTCATATCAACCTAATATATTTCACACCTGCTGTCGGCCATTAGATTTTAGGAATTATTGCTGAGTGAACGCGTGTTCATGAGGAGTCGGATTGTATGAGAGATGACTCGCGGCGAATGGCCTTCGGTCAAAGAGAAATGATTGCTTCTGGCAAACGATAATCACGGCCTCTTCCGTTCACAGATAGAACGCGAGTTGGTCCTGTCGTCGGCGGACAAGAACTCCAAGATTCCCATTCTTCACGAGTACAAACAGAGGACCGCCGGAAGAGTCGCCATCGCGCCGGATGCGCCGATCAAGCAACAGGCCTGGGTTCAGGAGGTGAGTCTGATGCTCCTGTGATAATTTACGAGTGCTGGGTAAATCGTGCTGATTTTTTCGCGTTTCTTCCTCCAGATCATAGCTGCCAACACGACGGAAAGAACATATATAAGGTTTCTTTTCCGAAGTGCGCGCGCTTCTTCATCGATTTGCACTGGCAGCTCTCGTTCCACCTTTTGTTTTCAACTTCCTAACGTTTACAGATTCTGAAGACAAGTTTGATTCATAAGAAAATTGAGCGTCTTCACGTTTTAAATAAATAGTACACGGACAATTTCCTATTCAGACACACAAAAGAAAGTTAACAAAGAAAAAATATTGAAACTCAACTTAGTAAGCACCAACTAACAGTAGCATCACGTCAATGTTATATTTTCTCACACAACAATGTAATTATTACACAACGCAGCGGTTATATCACATTTACATTGTTGAGTGGGAAATTATAACATTGACGTAATGTTACTGATAGTGTTCACTGGGAAAGAGAAAATTTACGACATTTAATCTTCCTTAATCTTAGACTCCTGAACATGAAGAAAACATTACGTAAATCATAAACATAAGTAAATTTTACCCAGAGCATTTTCATTTACTCATAACTTCCGTAAAAATGGTCCGAATTCAATGCCTCTTTTTTTAATCGGCGTAAAAAACATCAAAAAATATGAATCCATTAATGTTTTTATGTCTCAAAGTTGTCTGAAAAGGATCATAATTAAAAAACAAATCACATGTTTTCAAGAGCGGTAATGTTTGAAAAGTCGGTCCGGGTAAATTTTATCTACACTTAAGATTCCAGGATGAAACTCCTTTTTGAATGTTTTCAGTAGAAAATTTTCCACATTTACTTCCTATTTGAGACGAGAGAACTCGATTTCCTCCCCAATTAGAATCGGGCTTGGCATAGAAGCTGTAAGTTGTGCAGAATTGGCAAAAGTTGGTCCGATTGTCGAAAGTGCCACAGTAAAATGCCAAATTTCAGATGCTGAGAAATCGAAGTCTGCAGCACGAGCAAAAAGTCGACTCGACATTTTGCTCTTACTTTAGATTTCCCTTCGAGTCCCGATTCGACGACGGAGGTCGCTCAAAACAGCATGAAGCGCAGAAAATGAAAAAGAAAAGAAAAGAGAAAATAATGAAAAGAAAGAGAAAAAAATCAGCGAGAGCCAACGTGGCGAATTTCGAATTCGCGAAGGACACTCTCGTGGACGAGCGTAGGATTTTTCGTCCCTCACTTCGGCCACCACGGTTGCATCGTCGCCCGCTGCGATCGTTACGAAATCCCGCGATTAATCGGACGTCACGTATATGCAGTGTTATGCACACGCGCCACCCACGCGCGCCTCTAGCTGCGGGCGTCGGTAGGCGTCGGCAACGCGCGTGCTGTCGGGTTTCTTTTTTCCCGATCGCCGGCTCGGTACCGGTAACCCTGGAGGATGGGTGTGGAAAACGATGCCCGATCGTGAGTTGATACATGGGCGTTCCTTTGTTAATTTTTTTCCCTCCTCTCTTTTTTTTCCATTTCCCTTTTTAACGAACGACCTTAGCGCTGCCCCGGTAGCGCTTGTTCCCGCGATCCTTCACCGACCTTCTTCGTTCTCCCGCTCGATTTTCTCGTCCCACGCGAAAATTTTGCCAACAATTCGCCCTATCACCGCAATCCGTTGCGCCTCTCGCGTCCTTATTAATTCGATGCGTGATTTCATACATCATCATGCGATTGATTGATGAGTTCATTTTAGTCCAGTTGGCCCGGTCCGATTGATTCTAACGTGTTCTCTTGGAATTAGACCGGCTCGATTCCGCGCCGCTGGGATGTAAATTATAATCCCGCGCTGTCACTCCCCGATGACGTGCGCGTTAACGACGTATCGTGAGAGATAGAAGCCGCAACGCGCTTGTACGCGCGCAATCTCTCCGTATATACGATATTGATGGGTCCGCTCTATCACAAAAGCAAGATGGCCTTAACAGTTGCGCCCGTAATATATTTCAAGTACACCGTAAATCGTTCTCTCTCTCTCTCTCTCTCTCTCTCTCTCTCTCTCTCTCTCTCTC